AAGTGCATTCACTACTATTATTTAATCCTAATTACTCCTATCCGAGAACCAAAAAATAAAAAAAGCGTTACAGTCCACAACAATTATATTATATTATATTTACTTTAGACTTTACTTAATCTATTGAATATGTTATGATTATTAAAGTAATAACGTAAGTAAGTACTTAACAGTTTACACTATTTTAGCGTTCATATATTAATGTGCATTTACGCAAATATTAAACCTCACTTAAAATTAAGGCATTTCCTTTGGAGCTCTTAACAATTACCATGCATTTGTTAATAACATCCAAATTCCCAGTAAATATATTATTTAGAAATATTGTTTTAGTCATATCATCTTACACCACTCAAAAAGATGCATAATATTTAAAATATAAAATGTCGTTGTGAATAATAACAATTACGTTCTTTAATATCTAAATAGTCATTTACACTATCACGAGGATACTATAATAAATTATTTCTATGATAATCTTATATTTATAAATGTTCAGTAGTATTAAAATTTTCATAACGCTTCAAGATCAAGTACCCAAAAAATTATCCTTTGTGTTAAAAATAGAAACTTTTTTACTACTCCTAAAAGTGACGTTTCACACACATTCACTCACAGAACGATATTTCCAGCTCGTTACTCATAAATATTATGTTTATCATACATGTAAAATACAAAACTTTAATAAATAACTGTAATATTATTATAAAACAAATATACTCATAACTCCTCTTAGAATTTAAAATGTGTTTATGATTGTTTATAACCATTGGGAATAAATCATTTTTGAGTTACTTAGTTGTAATAATTTATTTAGGTAACTATATAGTATATATGGTTAATATCCAAGTAATAATGATTTTAATTTTTTATATTATTTTTTTAAATTAATCATTAATAATTAAAAATATGTATATTATTCATACTGAAACTACTTAGTTTTAGTAATATTGTACACTTGCAATTTTTACTTGCAGTAATATTCAAAACACACACTGGTTTAATTTTTACTAAAATAAAGGAGTCTATATTGAAACTAATAATCAAAATACTTATTTAAAAATAGATAATCTTTTGATTGGTTTTTATTCATTATCGCCTTAATTACATATAAATAAGTGTAAAGTTTTTTTTTTATGATTATACATAAAAAAATAAAATTTGGACGATTAAATTATGAATCATAAGTATTTATAGTTTAGGTGTATGGAGTGGATTGATTAAAACAAAATTTTGGTCTTTTTCTCCATTCACACAAGCTTTAAACACTTATAAAGTTATAACTCATACACTACTCGTCCAAATTTTGATTTTTATACTTACATCGAATAAACCGAAAAATATTTTGCTTCAGAATATGAAAATGAAAACGTATGTTGTCATTTAAAAAAGTAAAAACTTAAAAATGTATAAGGGTAAAAAAATGTTGTTTTATTTTGAGTAAAACATTATACGAACATTTTTTTTTTTTTGAACAATTTTAATAGATTTTCAAATAATGAGTTTGTTCAATAAAATAATCACTCAGTATTAGTATAATTTATAAATTTATTTTTATCAAGTTTACCCGACTTAATTTCGTTTAAGCTCAGTGGTAGTATACTCGTAAAAGAAAAAGTAATTTTTTTAATATTTATTGAATAAAAGATTACCCTGTTTTAATTTTTTTTTTTATAATAATTATTTTAATTCTAATAATAATTAACATTGTTGTATTTTTTTCTCATTTAAAAAAAATGGTTATACTTAAAAAGACAATACAATATATTTCTGATTTTAATTTTTGACATGTTCATAAATAATTTTAATTTGGTTTTTGTATATATTTTACGAAATGATTTCATAAAAATACCTACTAGACTATTTTATTATAAATAAAAAATAAATTTAATATAAAAGCATAAAAATGCATGTAACCTATAAAATACTCTTTTATGGGTTACACGAATTTTTATTTTAACATCTTATAAAATAATAGTTATTAGTAATTTTAATAGTTTAATTAAACTAAATATGTTAGGTGGTATACCTTCTTTAGTAATATGTTTTTATGTCATAAAATAAACGTGAAGATAATATACTTGAACAAAAATTACATCATAAAAATCAAAATAAATATTTTTCTTCAGTTTCATATAAAACTTAAATTTTGACTTAACTAACAAAAAGCGTAATAACTAAAAATATTTACTCGTTAAAATGTATTATAAATAAGCTATAAAAAACTTCATTACTATCTTTCAGAATTATTTATTGAATTTTAATCATAACAATTTAACAGATTTATTTTATTAGAATATTCCATTTTCAATTATAAATTCTCTTAGTTTAGTTTTTTAATTTTTAGTGTACTAAAAACTTAAATCTGAAAGGAAAAATAAATATTTTCAAAACAATCAATTTTTTTATAGTTGAAGTAAAATTTTAGATATTATATATATATAAATATTTTACTCATATATTCTCTTAAAAATTATTATTATGTCTTTAAGTAATATGCGAATTATGTGCCTATAATAAAGTTTTTAACAATGATTTTTTTTAAGGTGATTTAATAATAATTATAATGTTTATAATATATTATACTTCTAATTTAAATTTAATGAACGTATAGAATGTGGAATCGAGAATCAATGATGACATGTGTGTTATTCATTTTTTTCTAGTAAAAATTATAAGAAGTATTTCAATTTTATCTAACCTTATCTATCGGTCGAGGAAATTTATCTAGTTAGTACTATTTAGATAAGAAAAAAATTTGATTATTGAATTAATTCTTTCAAGTGTATTGGAAAATGATTTGTAGGTTATTGATTTTTGCTAATTCTTTGTGACCACTAATACAAATTGTAGAAACTTATGACTATCACTTATTATTTATTCTATTAAGTTTATCATATCATATTATTTGTTTTATAAAGTTTATGTACGGATATTATATGGATATAAAACAATATATTTCAATTAAAAGTTAATATCAGATACTGACTACCAATCGTTAAAAGAATATAATGGCCATTATAATAAATCCAGCTCCATCTAAAATCTAAAATTATTTGTTTATAGTTTGGTAAATTTTTATTTTTTTCCTTATATTTATTATTACCAGCAACCTTAATTTAATCAAGTTTTTTAATTTTCAAACATAAAAAAATTATCATACATTGGATATTAAATATAAAAATCAATATTACTTTCAAGAATGTATTGAATTTTATTATAATAATACATTTTTATTTTATAAAAAATATTATGTACTTAGATTACAATATACTAATAGTGGAAACAATGCATACAAAAGCAATCCCCACCCTGTCACACTATTGATATAGGAGAAAAAAGATTTATATCACTTACTCCATAAAAATTAAAATTAAACTATTCCAATGTTAGATTTATTTTTATTTCGAAACAAATGATGAAAGATAACCATAGTTTTAAATTGTGTATGTAACAATTATAATTATTTAGATTACTATCCTATGACACATAATTATTTTGAACATCCGATATTTTGAGTAATCGTATCAGCATTTTAATTATTTTAGATCTACGCTTACAATAATTGATAGGGAATACTGTTAATATAATAATTATACAAGGCTTATAAATTATAATAAAAATGTCATTAAATCAGATATCGGTTAAATTTATTGCAATAGAGTATTATATCATACCATAGATTATGTTTATTTTTAGTTACCAAGTTCGAAAACTTAATTGACGTAATATATTATATTTGCTTTTAAAAGAAATATACTATGACTACGAGCAAAGTTCTTCTATATTTGCACAGATGAAAAATAAATTGTCTTGCACGCAATTAACTCACCACCCACTCATTAATTGAATTTTATTTATTCGCATCCAATTCAAAATTAATGAAATGTTTATTTGTTCAGATAAATAACAAAAAAATTGATAGTCATACAAAAAATATTATACGTGAGAGAATAATGTAATCTTGGTAGGTACAATACATGATTTACGTGTATCGCAATAGTTATTTAACATTTAACTCTGTATTAGATACATACGTAAATGACCAAAAAGTTAATAATCTCATTTTTATCGAATTAGTTTGATCAACATAGGGGATATTGATGAGATTTATTTTTTATAATTATTATTTTTTTATAAATAAATAAAAGCGATTTTTTCTTTTTGTTTTTATTTTATAGCCATGTTGAAAACTAATTTCTCTGTTGAAGATAAATCTTAAACGGTTTTATAATAATCCTTCCGCAAAGTAAAACGATAACGTGGTACGATAGTTATGTGATGTAGTTTTTTAATACTTGTCCGCTTATATTTTAGTTTTTGGTATTTAAACCGAGGGAAGATTTCATAATATTATACATCTAGTTACATTAAGGCTATTTAGAAACCGTATCACGCACATACAGAAGGAATTAACTACTACGACCGTTAGTAAAACAAGACGTTTTTGATGGTGATTAATAAATTTTACTTCTATAAATGTATCTTAATACCAAATACGATTTATCACTTACTATAAATACTTTATTTTGGCGCTTTATGAGGAATGAGGTTAATGACTAAGTTGCGTATTATTTGATATGCTAATTGCATTCATAATGATATAATTGTCAAATTGATAATAATAAAATATAAATAATTATTAATATTAATAAAAATAATATTCAAAAAATCTATTAATATGAGGAGACGATGGAAAGTTTCCTTATCCTTTTTGTTTGGTCAAAATACGACCTAACGAATTTCAGGATTTCTAACGTTTGATTACAGCACAGCTATAGTACGGTTTAGTAATTATTATTATAAAAAATTAAAATAACGACTAAACACTCATAATCAGCTCATATTTTGAGCGACCAATCGAGACCTGTATACCACCGACGTACTGCGTTGTCATTATCGTCGATGAGATGTACTATAAATAAATACGCGTGGGTGACTAATGACTATAGGTATAACGGAGATTATTTTTATATTATTACAGTATCGTATACGCTTACCTTTCGGATCATAAATTCTACAGGCACCCTTCGCCTATAACTGCGATGGTGTAGGTACTTCACGGTCGCAGAAACTGATACAGGCAAACGTGTTTTAATTCAATCTCAATTTTTTTTTTTTTTTTTATTATTCCAAAATATTATTTCGATTTCCGTCTGTCTCCCAAGTGAACACGCAGATCTACGACACCGGTCACTATTTGGACACCATCGCCGACGGCGAGGAAATTATTTCGAAAATAAACTCGTACGATGTTAAATTGTGCGCGATTGACAACGCCGATATTGTGACGTTAAATTCGATTCGGAACGGAGAAAACGGTAGAGTTTCGACCCGTAAACTATGTATGTAACGATACAATATAATTAAATTATGCGCGATCGTGTCCGCGCTCTCCGGAAACAGATCCGAACACGACAAGAACGTTTGCTTCCGGCCGGCCGGTATCGGAAACACCGCGTTCGATGGCCGCCGCCCGCCGAGCACTGCTCTGTTGCTGTTGCTGCTGCTGCTGCTGCTCTGTAGTGCAGTACAATACACACGCGCGCACACCGGTTCGTCAACGTTTGCTGCTTCTGCTGCTGTTGCTGACGGCCCACCGCCACTGAGACACACCAGTCGCCGCCGCCGCCGCCGCCGCCGCCGTCGTCGTCGTCGTCGTTAACCGTCGTCGGTTAGTGTCCTATATAATGCGCGCACACACACACACACACACATGCACACACACTTGTTGCCGCGGCGGCGGCGCTTACGTCCGAAACTCGTGTGCCGGCAGTAGATAGCGATAATATATTATAATGTAATAATATTTGTAATAATAATATTATGAACACGACCGTGCGTCGAGTTCGACGGTGCACTAATATCATTGTATAATAATATTATACAATACCGAGAGTGTGATATCGGAGTCAGATTAATGGTCGGTCGGTATATCGTTGAGGAGCGATACGTTCTCGTGCTACCCCTAATCAATAACGATCGACTTTAAAGTATTTTTTTATTTTTTTTTTTTTTTACTATTTTCTTGATAAAATAACTCGAATATTTTTTTTTTTTTTTTTGCTTTACGACTTGTACACAAACGATGTTTTTAACGCACGAATTTATTTAGAAAAATAATTTATCCGAACACTCCTCTTCCCCTCCCGGCACCCACGCCGCAAATTGGCTCCAACGTGCAGATATACGTATATTATACGATTCGTTTTGCGTAATATATACTAATATACAACACGTATAAAAGCGGTTCCAAAATTAATTTTCTTTACGACCCATTGTTATCACTTAATATCGTCTATTAAACAAAATTATTTTTTTATTAACAACTTTAAAAAGATATACATTTTTTTTTTTTTTTTTTAAAGTACAGTTGTCTTTAAATCTTCGTAATGAATGTAAAACTAATATTATAAACATAAACACTGATCCATCTCCGAAATAGCGAAAATAAAAGATCGAACACAAAATATTGAATTCAAAACAGCGGAAATCATTTAATTGAAAGAATATATATGTCAGTGAATAAAAAATTATAGAAAATATAAAAAAAATTTTAAACTATGACAACAATTATTATTATTCTATACATTTTTTATTTTTATTAATATTTTATAGGTAATTAAAAAAAAATAATAATAATAAAATACTAATAAACTAATATCTCAAAGTATAGACGATTCCTTTAAAAAAATGTAAATTATCATTTTTGTCGTACATATCGAATCCGTTCAGCCGAATCTTTGTACTTATTTTTTTCCTTTTATTATTCATTAGATTAATACTAAACCACGATTAAAAAATAAAGATATCTTTAATTTTACTTCTAAACTGATAATTTACTTGTGTCTGAAGAAATCACTATCGATATTAAAAGTCATTCGCTTTTATATAGATTCGTTTAAATTATAGTCAGTTATGTCTCGGTAACTATCACTAATGCATGTATACTAGACAGAAAATTATCTTACTAAATTTCTATGTATATTAATAATCATGTTCAAATTGTTAAAAAAAAAAATGTACCATTGTAAAAAATATCAATAGCCAAAGCTAGGAACACCTTATCTTATCTTAAAAAAAAAAAAATTTAGATTCGTCCAAACATACATAGCTATTTTTAGTTAGTGGTTTTTTTTTGTTATTTTATTTTCGCTATTTTGAGGGGATACCATAAACATTATAAACATAATGTATAGAAAAAAACAATGTGTCCTACAGTTAGCAGTAGATCCATTTATCCGGACATAATACATAAGTAATATTATACATTATACCTTATATGTATGCATAGACATGTTTGTGGTTGTTTCTTGATGAGGTCCTTTATTACTTAGCCTAAGTAACTTAAACTAAATTGTACAGTACTAGGTGATTGAGTTGTTTGACATCTTACGAGTTAGTTAAGTAGTTTTTTATAATCACAATTCACAAGTTAATACAATTTAGTGAAATATTTAAGTTATAACATTATAGTATCTTAAATAGTATTCCTAATTAATTATTATAAGTTATGAAGTATCGTTCTATACTTCTGTGTGACAAATGAAATCAACGAATTTCTCGAATTGTTTTTGACAATTAATTTTTGCTCTCACTCATGACTCATATAATATATATATATATATTTTATATCATCGAGCAACTGCAATCAACAGTCAAGATTAATTAAAATTGCATATTCGGCCACTATAAACATCTAATAATTGGTCCTTCAAGGCTTTGTTATAAATTAAATCGTTTTAGGATCATTATTATTTATTTTATCGATACAGGCCAAATCAATAGAAAAAACGATTTAATTTTTTTTTGTTCTGTTTCGTGTACGTGACAACTATTTTTAGGGTAGTATAGAAAATAAACCAAAAGTTACATGGCTTGTGTCAAAATGAGATCGATTTTCGTGTTATTATTGTAGGTTCTACTGTAAATAGGTATTAGTATACAGTACTAGTGAAAAACTAATAACTTTATATAGTTTCTCATAGTATAGTGAAAATAGATAATGAGTTTCGTAACTTACATGTCTTAACTTTAGTCGTTGTTTTCTTGATTATGAAAATTCTAATAATTGTCCAAAATATTTATTATTTTCTTGTACTATAATGTAGTATTAATATTATGTCAATATATTTTCTCAAATTATTAAACATTTTACTATAGTCAGTACTAAATGTTCAACATTAAATATTTAAAAAATTCATATTTTCCTTCGGTTTTAGTGGAATAGAAACATCAATTGTTTTTAATCATATATTTTTTTATTTATTACGTTGTCATTAACTTTTGATGAATACACTACAAAAAATGTTTTGTTTTGTATTTGAAACCAAAACAGTCAAATTTTAAGAATAAAATACTAAATATATTTAAAAAAAAACTAATAATGTTAAACATAAAATTAAATATTTATTTACCATGCAAATCGCAATTGATGCAAAATTGTTAGTTTATATTTCTTCTTTATATTGGTTTTTACTTTATTAAAGAATAGCATATTTTTTAATTTTTAAAATTGTCTTGTTTGAAAATATCTACGTTATTTCACATTTTAACAGCCAATATATTTCAATTTTATATTATGTATTGTTGGTGTATCGGAAACAATTTAAAACAATAATCAAAAAATGTTTAATGTAACAGATAAACTATTTCAATATAATATTTCTTTTTTATTATTTATAATTTATAATAATAATGTAGGAATCTACGATGAATTTTCTTAAATTCTCATTGAAATTATTAACAAAAAATATTTGTTGTTCCTCAACACAAATATATTTTTATTGCTAATTAATTATTTACACCGAATAGAAATAATAATAAAAAAAAAAATTTAAATCGTTAAAATGGACAGAATACATATTATAATAAGTCTTTTTTGTGCTTAAAGAATTTGTTTACATAATGAATTATACAATTTAAAAAAATAATAATATTGTTTTGAGCTTATTAGTGCATTTCTATACATTTTGTTTCTTTACATTTTATACATTTGCAATATAAATTGTAATGTATACTTAAATTAATTTCGAATGTATATTTATTTTTAAATATTAATTTGTATATATTTTAACAAAAGCATTGTCGTTTCAGTAATTTTAAATTAGTTATAACTTTTAATAAAATATAAGACTGGAATAACGGTATTATTTAAATGTTTTAAACGCAACTTATAAAATTAAAATACAACGTGAAACATATACTTATAATTAAACTTAAGATGCTTTTTCTACGGTAGAAAGATAGCTTTTATATTGTATGTTTAAAGAAAATAATAAAGTTTTAGTATAGTTATAGTAGAAATGAATAATAATGATGTTAACATCGAAAATGTTCATAAACATCTTTGAATTAAATGTTAAAAAGTTTTTATTAATTATCACGTCGGATTTTATTATAAAATATAAACGTAGAACTAACCTTTAATTTTATAATTTAATTAATTGTAAAATCTTAACAAAACTATTTAAAAATAGTTAAATACAAGAATATTAAGTTTTTAATTTATACATTTTTAAAAATAACTTTATTTATTATTACATGCCAAATTTTTATAATAGATATTCACAAAATAATAATGCCTTTAAAGTATTAAAATAAATGTAAAACAGAACCTTTTTTTTTACGGAAATTGCTAAAGCAAGGTTTTTGATTAACTTTCAAAATATACGCTTTAAAATTAAAAATATGACTTATGCAATACAAATAACATGTATTTGATCACGTTGTGAGTTGTATTCAGTAATTAATAAGCATAGGTACCATAAAATCAATTAAAAAAAATATGCAAATGCATGAAAGTATTTATTTGCTACCAATTTACTATAGTTAATTTAAAAATGATTAAATAATATTTTTCCATTTCAATAATTTTTGTGTATTTGAAATTAAAAACACATTTTGAGTGTTTCTTAACGACTTAATTTAACAATCTTGTTTAATTTTTATTGGTTTTTAAACATTTTACAAAATAGTAGTAAAATAAATAGGTAACAAAATTATCATCAACAAATTCATAGTCATTTAACTTAGTTTAGGGCTATAATTTAAGGGTCATACAAATATGATTCAATTATACACTTATACAACATTTATCAATAATATTTATTATTACCTATAAACCATTTTATCTTAATATCAAAAATAATACATAATGTGAATGCATGTATGTATTCTATTTGTTTAAATAATTTTTGATATTAAGATATAATATATATATATATAGGCATACATAATATCTGAATTCTACAATTGCTTAAAATGTACATCACATTATTATTTGTTTACGATTCTGAAGATTGCATAAAATGTTCAATACTTTGTTAATTTGTCACGGGTTTCGGTTACAGTCAACCGTGCGAAACATCAATTATTTTTCGTTCGCAGGTCTGTTCAATACGTGTAAAACTCAGCGATAATGATACGGCAATATACCTGAAAGACGACTGGGAAACATAAAAATGGTTAATAGTGTTCTGATAACGACGACAACACGTCACTGGTGATCGATGAATAACGAAATATTCGAAACCTTTGTGCTTGAGTATATGATAAATTATTTTACGCGAAATTACGATTCATATG